CCTCTACCTACCCTATTGAACTGTGGAGAGTGATATTGAACAGGCCCGTTGAACACCCGTCACAACATTCTATCTCAGTTACCGCCAATCAATTAAAACGCCATGAATGACCATGCTTATCCTAGAGATGAAAGGTTGGTCATTTGATGGCCCTCCTTTGCCGGGCATTGAAGGGGTGAAGTGCACCTCCATAGACTCCCTAACAACTCCCAGGACTTTGATCGACTCACTAGGTCTGAATCATTGTGTGGAAGGTCAATCAGGTTATGACCTTATATGACCAACAAGTGGAACCAAACTTTAATAAACAAGATTATTAAAATTCCTTGTGGTTTCATCATTAAGGTTTCGGCTGTTTATACAGGTATGCTATTATACTCACAGGCAGCATTGTAAACACCAGGAAGTGATGTGTCCATATGTATGGCTATTATGGTTAAACCTCTAATATATGTAAGCGATATTTATGCTTTCGAGATGATAAAGGTATTCAAACGAGCAGACGGTTTACTGACGTTCATGGGAGTATTTCCTAGAAAGGCATAATCGTTTTGCTTTTGGAAATAACACGTGTGTTGTAAGTACAGCCATTCGATTGACTCATGCCCTGCCGTCGATATTTGTATTGGATGGTTTCAGTTTGGGCCTAGTGATGGGTAAATAGATACCGGTAGAAATCAAAACTAGTCACGGTTGATTTAAATGGCTAATTGAGTTGTTTTTATTACACATTCAAACCCCATAAATGGCATACGACTGAATATATGGCTCCAGTATTGATAGCTATGTTAACGCGGAACTCGCGTACTAATACCCGTGTCTGCACGATGTTATAAATTTCCGAACATGCGTACCGAAATGCTGACGTCATTTTACACTGACTGCCCGTGACCAGGGTATCACTGGATCTCACCCTGATTATATACATAGTTATCCATACTATACTTTTATATATCTACTGCTAATTTCCGTTCGTCTGGCATACTGTATTATCGGAACATCTCGGCTTACATCCCTCAATCGTCTGGCCAGTTTAGATGTGTATCGCGTCCCGGCCAATCTCACGGCAGTAAATGTCGCGCGCCTTCTGGCGGAATATGATTAAGACATCCCTGCTGATGACCTGGCTAGACACCTAGCATCAGCATACGACACTACTGTTGATCAAGTTGTCTGTTATGTGACATACTCATATCATCCCAGTACAATCACTTCTCTGCCATGGCCACTTCCTTATCGTTGAATTGCATGGTCCATGCTTTAACCCTGCAATCAAGATACATCAATATATATCCAACAGTTCTTTAGTTTTTGAAATATTCAGTTGTCATATTTAAATTTAGTCGAAAACCAAATTTGCCATTAACGTACCTACTTTAAACAATACTAACACTGACTAACATGTATTACTGCTTTTTAATGTTATCCCCATTACACAAACGTACTCATTAAAAGATGATTGCATTTGGACGTTCCTAATCAATTTGTCTGTCTATTCTATAAAGAGAAAATGGTTTGTTTTAGGCACACTGTGTGTCCCGCCTGATTAGAACAGGTTGCCTAACTGACTACGAGAATGTAAGTTACCGACAGACATCGGTAATATAACATACCAGACCAATAAATAAATATTCAGTTAGAATAGACAGCTTAAATCCGTTTGAGACCACGACAAAACCGTGATAAATTAGTGTTGAGGGGACAAGAACACATGTCAGAAATCACCATTCGCATTTTAACACGCAGGCGTTTTGCATGAAAATTTTGATTGTAAATAGCATAACATGGTTTTCTACATAAATATCCCATGTGTCTATGTTGTGATTGCTGAACGGCGTTTTTTTATGAATACAGCCGTACAGTGCCGCCACGCTATAATATAAAAGAAGTACATTACGATTTCACAAAAAAACTCATTTTTCAATAATGAATAGCCTTATGTATTGTATCGTTTTTTTAATTTTTTATTTCTACGATATTTGGTTTGAAAATAAACTATTTACTAATTAAACAACAATATGGATAGTTTTTAATCAAAAGTAAAATTACAATCATCACCTTAATGATAAATAGTTATATTTGTCAACGAAAAAGTACTGCAGTTTAAGTGATATAATACAACCATACCATAGGTATAAGAATTGTACTGTAGCGTATTTGACAACAGAACTGTGCTTCAGTGTGTTGTTATATAAACTATCACTTTGTTATCAGTATTATGCTACAGAATACACTCTATTCTCCAAAAACCACTATAGGTTTCCTCACTCCCGTCTCGTTGGATAATTCTGCCAGGGGTTGTTAAACTTTTTTGTTACCCACTGTCCGTTTTTCATTGTTCAATCTTAAAATTGTGACATCACGTAATAATGCTTTGCGATCCAATCATAAACAGGAATAATGTATTTCCCAGGTAAACATATGTATCTCTAGATATGATTTAATTACCTGTTATTACCTATACATTGGGAATCTGTGAACACACTGTCTGATAAATACCAGTAGCTAACTTTTACCCTATCATTGCCGTGAACATCTGATAAATGCATTCACATTTCGCCTCCAGATCAATTTAATGTGTCGGGGATGACAAAACAAAACTCACTGTTTCCTTCAAATATATAATTTATTATTTAATAGACACGACGCTATCTAACTGAACGACACTCATGTATTGTTTTAGTGTTTATGCTTAATTCGTTACATAAACCTGAAATCGTATTGGACCAGCTCTACTTTTTTCTATGTAGATGATCTTTTATATAATAATTCAAACACTATCATGTCCAGCTATCTTTTATTCTGTATCATTAACGTTGTGCCATGAAGAATTATTATAGTTAGGAATTATCGTTTCTTTTAAGTGCAGACTTAGCACATTGTATCATACGTAATACATGTTTAATATGTGTCTGTGTACAAGTTTTTCACGTGTACAATATTGTGACTCTACTCCCTCCCAAAATCTATTTAAACCCAGTCAAGTATGGAACAAGCTGTGCCGGTATGTAATCGGCAGGAAATTGAACAAGTTCAGTGGAGTATTAAATGATGTGATCCCTCCGTGTTCAATGGTACACACGGTTATGACATGGTGTTACACTGACGTTTACGGTTCGGTACCCGGGGTGAGGCTCATTCGACATCACATCATATATGGGTACGACAACAGTTCCCACACAGATTTCATTTATAACAGTCTAAATTAATTTCTCTTGTCATAAAAGAAGCACTTGTTAAATTTCGATGTCACAGGGTCTATGGGAAAATACTGCTGCGGATATTTACCAAAGTTTACTATTGAGCATATGTTATTTTCAATAAATGTTGCTGTTACGCCATAAAACGTCCAAAATGCAATAATGATGTCTTTCTTGTTTTATGAGAGACTGTTGAAACTTCGGAATAGCTAAGACACGTGCCCTTACGTGTTGGTGGTAGGACGGACGGTTTTATTTATAAAAAAAAGATTGTGAAGTTAAGCGTAAAACCCTGATGGTTTTGGGTGTGTCTTGCGTCGTACAAAGGCGTCCGCCCTTCTTTTCCCAATCAGTATTGATATTCTACGCCGAGTCATGTCAAACCAGCTCGACTCTTCGGTGATTTCCACTGGCCGATTATTCTGTATAAATTTGTTTGATATTTTGGTATAGATATTACTCGTTATTCTAATGTACTTCTCATGAGTCTACTTGTACTTTATAAACACACTTTAGTCCTATACTCAGCTGTTCAGAAAATATCAAATAGTATAAAAGGGAAACACAAAAACTGACTTTTATATTGCAATTAAACAATTTATACAATTGGTATGTTCGTTTAATATTCTTACTGTTTAACCTGTGTATTAATGTAAATGTACTAATCATTGACGTTCTACTGTTCCAAGACAATGGAAGCTGGCTACGTTTTATTATTAATCCGGCAGGAATTTCACAAATACTTTTATTATTATTAACAATTAATTTTTAACATATTATTCAGTTTGTCAATTACATTTAAATTATATGAACCATATCTATATACCAATTGATAAAATCGTTTAAGTACGCCCTTCCTCATTCTGATAATATAAATAATAAGGTTGTAGTTTATATAAGCGTAACGTGTAATTGCCAGTGACTGACGGATAGCTGTAGGCCGTCAGACCTAATCCTAGATCATCCCAGTGATAGGCCTCGTTTGTCTCTGTAAATATCAATTGATATCATCGACGATGTCGACACACATCCACGCACCTGTTGGAGGGGATCCCGTCCAACTATACCTCCTACAATCACAATAGAATTAAGCAAAGTTTTGGATATGTTTGAATTCGTAATTTAAAGATTATAAGAAAAACATGTTCGCGTTATAAATTACCTCTGTTGCCAACTATGTTACTTTTACTGTCTTTTACATATTACCTTCATTAAACATCAAAAACAAATAAATATAGAATTATACATCACATCTAGTTTATAGTAGCAGTTATGTATATTCATACCCCAGGTGGAAACCTGTTGGTTGTATTCTCCTACGAGGCGGCCTAGTGGGGTCGGTGTTAGACAATATGCACCGAGAATAGCCTCCATTCTATCTTATTTCAGTGTATCGCTTTCAGATAAAAAAAACTTTGTTCTAGATTTAATGTTTAAATCAAACAAGGTGTTTTTGTCAATTAAATCGCATTAAAATATATACTCCACTCCGACGTTTTATATACATCCCAATGTAAACATAGTCCACCCATTCAAACATTGAATGGTTGGAGAGAGCTGTCTTTAGATTATAACTGTGTTCAGACTATCTCCTTATTATACAGTTGTACGTGCAATTAACTCATTTTACTGAATCAGTTACGTTTGAAAACAAGCAGATTACATAATATTGAAACACTGGGGTAAAAAAACACATTAGAAAGATTACAATCATGTCACGGCCTTGGGATAACCAAATGTCAGGCAACACTCAATCCTACAAACGTCAAAATATAAATACGTGTAGACAAGCTTAAGGTAGAAAAGGGGAAGTTAGGTTTGGAGTGGGGCCATGATATGATGACAGTTTCTGGAGTAAAGGATGCACACCTCGTCTTTTGGGTAAGCAGTTTAGCTATACTTAAAATATCTATTCTTTGATTTGTTATTAAGTGGTTAATGTATTTAACACCATGTTACACCTCTTACATTTACTCAGTCAAATTAGCAAGAGTAATGACAACACAATTTGTGGCATTATGATCATTGATAAACTCTGTCTGCCTCGACTCAGTTTTATGTGTCCACTTACTATTCTAGAACGTCGCAGTGAGATTTGTGTTCACCTCGTCTCGGTGTGTCGGCTAGGCGTGAATCAATATTGGCCCCGCTGAGTAAATCACATATGTCTCAATCAAACGTTGAAAGGTTATGTAATATTTAGCAGTCCTAAACCAACACTACCTGGTAAACGACCTATATGATTTGAATATGTAGCAAAGCAAAACGAAACTGTATAGTGTGTAAGTACACTACCTAACAGGTACTGAGGTTATATCGGAACTAACTTTAGGTACATATCACATTAAAAATAAAAAAAAATCATTATATTCATTTATTTATATGAAACCTTACTTTGATGTTTTCTGAGCTTGTAAATTGGAACACCTTATCAAACATATAAAAATGAAGTTTGAAGTGCTGTTGTACTATTGTAGTGATATCATTTTCTATTGTCAGCTCTTGCAAAGTTTTATCTTAGTTGTTAATATTATAGTTTCGATTTTTAGTTATTCACCTTAGTTTCGATATTGAGTTAGTTATCTTAGTTTCAATATTGAGTTATTTATCTTAGTTTCGATATTGAGTTATTTATCTATGTTTCAATATGGATTTAGTTATCTACGTTTCGATATGGCTTATTTATCTTAGTTTCGATATGGATTATTTATCTGAGTTTCTATATGGATTTAGTTATCTACGTTTCGATATGGATTATTTATCTTAGTTTCGATATGGATTATTTATCTTAGTTTCGATATGGATTATTTATCTGAGTTTCTATATGGATTATTTATCTGAGTTTCTATATGGATTTAGTTATCTAGGTTTCGATATGGATTATTTATCTTAGTTTCGATATTGAGTTATTTATCTTAGCTTCTATATGGAGTTATTTATCTAGGTTTCGATATGGAGTTATTTATCTAAGCTTCTATATGGAGTTATTTAACTTTTGATACTGAGTTATTTATCTAAACTTCTATATGGAGTTATTTATCTTAGCTTCTATATGGAGTTACTTAACTTTGTTTCCGATATTGCGTTATTTTTCTTAGTTTCGATATTGCGTTATTTATCTTAGTTTCGTTATGGAATTGTTTTTCTTAGTTTCGATATGAAATTAATCATCTTTAAACAATAATGAAAGAAAATAATATATTTTTCAGTCACCTATTTCATGATTAATATACAAATCAAAATTGGCAAATATTTTGTTATTTTTCTAAATGTAGTCTTAATTTTATTATTCCTGTACATATTAGTAATAGTGTAAATGGTATTTCAATGAAAAAGACTAGACATGAAAAGAATGATAATGTATATATTTTGAGTATGACTCGATGATTGAGCGGCAATACATATATTGATACGTATCAATCTACAATTCATATTTAAGCTGTATCAGAGTGATAACATTTTGTGTTTATATGGTTTAACAAATGATATTATGAAGCTTTAAATTGATAACATTCTGATTTCTGTTAAAATTATGATATATCCCAAAGGTGAAAGTGAAAACATAATTTTGTCATTTTATCCGGAAAAAAATCGTTTCTTAAATAGGAACAGTAGCAACACCTGAAAAGGGTGAAGACAACACGAAACCAACAGGAATGGTTGTCCGGAGGCTTCGTGTGAATGTTTTCTTTTTTACAATAACACACATTTAAGGGTGTGTATTTTTTTAATATGATTGGTATTGTTATATAAAGGTTTGTGTAATGCAACATCCGCCATATCCTGTTTTCCTCATAACTTGAACACAGTCATAGTTAATGAGATCATCATGCTTTGTAGCTTTAAATCAATGTATTAAGAAGAAAAAAACAAGATCATAGGATATTATTGAGCTGTCTCAGTACCTAGGCTGTGTGTCGTGCAGTTTGATTCTTTACTGTTTGACAGAAAACCAATATTCCTGTTCTCAGCATATTTTGTATGATACTAGAACTGTGTTTTATGGCGTTCTCAAACTAAAAACTAAGACACAACATAGCAACTTAACAGCAATATGTTAGTGTCTTTGAATAAATGCGGGGTTAAGTTGTATGTTTCTATGTGATTATGTTTAGTGTTACTATATCAATACGACGATTATTTTAACTTCAGTCTTGAAAGCCCTCACAGCAATTCCAGTCTTTGTTTTCTAGATGGTCTTGCTTTTATCTTTCATATTTGGGAATTGACGGTTTAATTATCTGTGGTTTTTGTGAAATTATTCCCATGACGAATTTTATGATAATATATCGCCATCGCCGTTATCGTAAAACTGGCATCCACCACTCCGGTTCTCAAATATAATATACAGTTTTGATATAATTGTGATATTAACATCAGGATAACTACCTATAACAAGTCACGACGGGAGGGATGTTATACGTGTATTACCTGGAGACATTACAGTGTGTGTGGCTGTAGCAATTCATTTAAAATTGAGCTAATTGATTATCATAACCTTGTGTGTGTGTCTATGTATGGCCTATTTGGATTTTAATATCAGACGAACTAGTTAGGAATATACATCTAATACACATTGTCATTATAGTAATGTTCGCCTTTCTATAAAGCCTCTATTTTTGAGTTGGAAAACAAAAACGACATTACCATCTTGCATTTCAAAGACGTCCTCTCGTACAGGATAATGTAACCGAGACAATTACTCAATATAAGCTTCACTGTTTTCATCAATAATTCATCTGTTATCGTTCTGCTTGAATCTGTACATGTTCCAAAAACATATCGTTTGATGTTTAACAAGACTTATATAAGATAATAATACCATTGCGTATAAAATTGTAGGTGAAATGTGTCTAACGTTAGACCGTTTCATAGCAATTTAAAGCGATGAAATGGTTAAAACAATTTCACAACATGCATTACAGGAACCTCAATACCGGCGGTGATATATTTCAAGTTTATCAAATTAGAAGCGCAGTTCCTAGGGATGTCTCATAGGAACCAAAAATGTAACAATGTTATTATGTTTAAAAAAGCATTGGTTTTGTTTTTGTTTTTGTAAATTATTGTACGTGACAGTTATGTTGGAACGTGTAAAGTTATATCTATTGTAATGTGTACGTGTGTTAGAACAGTCATGGTGATTTATACTTATAAAGCATTAAAAATGATGGCACCAGACACGGGGTAAATGGAAATGCTTTGAAGTCAATATCTGCCTTTAAATTCAAAAATGATTTATAAGCAAATGTATTATGTAACACGTGTTTTTTCGATGAGCCTACCGTTTTACCGCGCGCATTAATCTTAACTGCAGTATGAGAGCGGTTCTGATTGGATGAACGTGTGCTGCCTCTCTGCCAGCCTCCGTGATCACCGTGTAATGTATGCCTCCTCTAACTCCGTTATCATACGATCGACATCAGTAATAGACTGTATCGTAATTCACAGCAGCTAACAGCTATGTAGGCAAGACAACATATTTGTATATAAAAGTTATTTTTATTATTTTATAAGGACGGACTATTGTTTATATAATTGATGTACATAACGATATTGAAAATACATTTAATTCAATAAGTAAGAAAAAAATCATCTTTTCATACAAAAAATATCAAAACTTCGATTGAACGACGTTAAAAATGAATAAATCTAAAACCCAATAAGTGTACTTTGCAAACATAAAAAAAAATGCATTTAGCACCGATATTATTTTGAAAAAACTTATGACTGAATTTGTTCTAGCTTTTTTGGTTAAAAAGTAATCAATTTTGTATCTGCTCTTTTCAAATATGTGTTTACCATTTCATCATTCACAACTGTGGTACGACATTTGTTTGGCTTTGGTGCTCATTATTACGATAATTGATCAGGGAAGTGCATTTCTGATACCTTAAGACGCCCAATTGTTAAAGGTAACGGTTACATCTAAAATAATCTATAAGGCGTTAATGACCTGGACTGTATGAATTAGTGTTAAATGACTCATTTACAGTATCTTTATGAAAAAATGCTGCGTATTGTAGTGTTGTCGAAGCCTGGGTACATAATTGTGTATATTTACAAGTCGAAATAATGACAAATCATCTGACAATATTCAATACAGGTGCTTCTGTCGCACGTGCGAGGAACACACTGCGTTGCTACCGACCAGTCATTGTTCAAACCACACTTTGTGGTATAAATAGGAAAAGTGACATAGATGCGTATGTAAATGACAATAAATCAATTACCAGTTATATAAATACAACAGAAATCATCCAGTAATGATGCAGGGTGTCGAGGCGTATGTCACGAACAGAAACAGAGCATGTGTCGCTTAGGATTTCCATTATAGATATTCTTGGTATATTACTCATCCCAATCCTATACGTGAGAAACAATAGAAGAGAAATGATATTTTGAAAGATCAGTTTTGGTCAGTTACTATATACCAGATTAATGCCGTCTTTCACAAAGATAAATAAGTCCTTAATGAGAGGAAATAGAAAAAATCTACACTCCTGCTTGAATAGATATTACGTTGTGAGAACGTAATAACTAATAAATTTTCCATTTCTATATGTTTTAAGTAAATAATTCCAGGACGAACGATATTTGGTATGCCGTATTTAACTCCTGTTTCGAAGAATTTCATTTCTAATCAGATTTATTGCTCCTGTTGTTGTTTTCTTGTTCGATAACGGTGTTCATCTTTTGTCCTTGTGTTATGACTCTGTGGTATATATTGTGAAACAATAATGGAAAAATTCATATCTAGCAAATGTGACCCAGAAAGACTGTCCCTATTATCATTAACGTCTTTTTCCCCCTGGAACTACTTTAAAGATTTTACAATAAGCTCGTATGGTGTGTATGTGATTTTCTTCACATTCATACTTTCATTAACGTTGGATAAATTCCGATTCAATCCCTAAATATATGATATCTTCACCGTCTCCACATGACCGCTGCAGTGGCGAGGACGTTAAACCAAAACAAGAAATTACAAAGTTCACATCTACGTAGTGCTTTTTCATTATTGCGATATAAACATTGATGCCTAAAAAATTGCTTGTTTCATTTGGAAACTAAACCTGTATACAAATAATCATTTTCTGCAAAAGAAACATTGTAGCTACATATAAATCTAAAGACAGGTTCATGAAGCTGAACACAAGCTTTTGTTCAATGTTGATAATAGATATTAGGAACATTTGCCCTATCTGTGAAAATTGGTAATATAAATGTTATTATTGAGCAATTTAACGCTTGCCTAACTATGTAGATAACTGTTGAAGAGGTGCTAAAAGCCAGTAGTTTCCATTAAAGTCGTAAAACTCAATTTACTAAGCATTACTCAATACCTACGCAACTACCAGGACAAAAGCTTTCTATACGCACATTGTGTCTGGGAAACAGGCCCGGTTTACACCAGTTTACCTGTGAAGCTCTTGTCATTTTTTATTGTTTTCCCTTTAAAGAAATATCTGATTATGATAAGATTATGCAAACCCTGTTTATACATACATATAAAAAATCTTTTGTTTTCTCTTTACTTTCAGATTTCACAACCAAGGTCGCCATCGCTTCTATAGGAAATATTTGGAAGTCTACATGAGTAAAATGAATTGATGCGAACGATAAACTCAAAGAAAAAAACTGCTATTATAAACGTTTTAGCACGAAACGTTCAGAATCTGATTCTTTCGTAGACAAAACCCTGGCACCTATATATAGACTTAAAGCTTTCGTTAACCCAGAGAGCCAGACGCTGTCGAAAATTTCACCTGTTGAACAGCCAGAGGAAGAATAGAAACAACACAGGCTGAAGAAGGTAACGTTTTTATACTATAAGGTCTAACACACTAGCTAAAATGTCATTGTATCAGCCATATTGTTTTTCTCTGATATTGTAAAACGGAAATCCCATTTCGAGGGTTACTAGAAATAATACTTTGATGATCTAAAGAAAACTTTAAATCAGAGCAAACAACATACTCATATTGCGTTCTAAGTTACCTGCTTTTATTTCTTTACGATGTAAAAAGTTGAAACAAAACTTTTTTATACCCGATTATGTTAAAACTACAAGACAGAAACTGTTAAATTTAAATGGTAGATTTTCCTAAACTATACTCCAAAATGTTGTAATATAGTTAACATGACCCAAAGTATCTCTGAACAAAATTAGTGTTAAAAAATAGTTACCTGTTATCGTCTTTATTTATTGCAGCATTATCACATATATTTCGTTCGTCAACTTTATTTTTAGTCGATTAAAACATCTTGTTTGTGACAATAACGGCAGTTTACACCTGATGGCTATATACAAGTTAAGATCCATCGAATTATGGTAGAATTTATTTCAAAACTTATCAACTCAATCATAAAAAAGTTATATATCTGAAGACATACAAGTTAAGATACAAGCAAGATCGATTACACTTTTGAGTCTTATGATTTACGACATTCCAAGGAACAAGTATAACAAGTCGTTATGTTCCATGGTCTGCTCTTTGAACTTTTACACAGCATTACTGATATGATAGTTATATACTCTAAGAGGCCTTGCATAATTTCGACCACATGTCAACAAGGTGTTTTTTCTTTAATATTGAGCTCACTATTGTAGGTTAGGTAACATGAATCACTTAAACGACTAGGACGTAAACACATATATGTAGCTATGTTATAGAGAAAACCGAATTAACTAATTTCCCAAAGGTTAAAAACAAAAGGGAAGTGGATAACTGCATAGAACAGCTATAGCAAATCCAAGGTTGTTAGAACTGAAAGTCGATTGTCTGTCGATCATCTCTGAGGTGTTACCTCACGTATTGTAAGTCTGATAACGACGGCCTCGCTACAGCGATCACTGTGTTTACTTTGTCTTTTCATCTTCCACGATTTCAAATGTCAATGACTTTTTATTCAGCTGCCGTTAACTGAAATTCCATTTAGCAATTGTTTACCGTACAACACTCTCCAACATGAACTTTTATTTGACTTTTAGAGGAAGATGCAAACAGGCTTTTTATCTGTCGCCATGGAAGGGACGTAGAGGCATTGTTAATGACATTGTCGTTATCTTGTAACTGAACATGAAGCATTTTTTTGTATACATTATTAACTCGTTATGGAGGGTGCGCAATAGGTTCCACGCCAAGTCATCGCTCATGTGAAATTGAGCAAATGACAGGCGTGCACGGTCTGTTGACACTACCAGTATCTCGGCCACTCACCTCCCTCCCTGCTGGTTACAATTTTAAATCAGCGGTTCTCGGAGTGTCATAATATAGGGCTCTTCAAATAATATTTCACAAGTATTCATTTCTTGTATAGTTATGATATATATTGTACGTGTGATATGATACTTTCAAATTCACTAGGACTAAGTAACGCTTTCGATAAACCACAGAATAATGAGAATTCAGAAAATAATGAAACGGAAAGAATTGATGTCCTTACGCAAAGTTTGGAAAACTAAGGGAATATGACTAAATCCCAGAGTTCATCTGATGCTTTGTCAGTAAAACCAATAAAATGCTTTTAATAATCGGTTTTCATCCAAGTCGTTATAATGGGATAATGGGATAACTATTAATTGATGCTGGAATAAGAGATGTTTGTGTGGAGAAGTTAGGTAAATTATTCACTCAATTATAAGTTACGTTGTAAACACACACAGATAAAACAAATCAAGAAAAATATAAATGATGTATATGCATAATCAAAAATGAGATAACTAGCAATTATTCTTTCACATTGATATACATAATGTTAACAAACATGCAATGTTGAGTTTTGAATATGTTGCAACTTTAAGAGAGAAAGCTAAAAACTAAAAACTCGAATATAAAATCGGTATTTTACTTTTTAAGCAAAATAAAACAACAACGAACTATTATAAAGGTATGTAACCTCTACATGTCGCATGCGATGCAGAAATCGTAAGTCGAACTGAATGCCCGCAGTATATACTGTAATGTTAACGCGGTAAGAAATTCCTGACTTTTTGTAAAAATGAAAACACACTTTTTTTTTAAAGTAAACATATGAGAACACTGTTTGTCATGCTGATACAAAATTTGCTTTATCTTCAAATATAAATGCACTTGCCATACTCTCTAACGTCACCGTGCTTAAAGTCCGACTCAAGCTGTACAGAGCGCGGGATTGTATCGACCTGCGTATCTATTACCCAGGCACAATGTCCGCTCACCGATATACATTAACTACCCGAAAAGGCCTAAAAGCGGTCTTCTATGTACCCAAACCCTTCGGCAGTCTGCTAGTTGATGCTTGACAAACAACAGTAAAATTTATTATATTTGTTTAAACATTGAATAATAAACATCTCTCTTTAGCGTTAAGTCGATAAGCATCTGTATCATAAATCAGGTAGTCGTATAAAACACAAGCACGGCTTTGGTTTACGGGTCCTTTGGTCCGTCAAGTGAAAAGGGTTCTCTTCTACCCAGGTGTTGTGTTGTTAATTCCTTAGATACAGTGTACCGAGTATTGTAAGTCTCAACACGGTAATCCAGGTATATTTAGGAGAGCAGAGTCGAGTATGTTGGTCTCGGAGAGGGCCCTAACGGTCACCCAAAGGTATAAGGGAAATATGAGTACGGTCTAACTTAGGGACACCATTTACTGTCAGGGTAATGTTTAATGGAGATGCAAGTACGGTCAGTCTCGGGGAAGCCTATCTTAATGTAATGTTTAATTTTGAGTACAGTGATATTCAAGTCGGCCTTAACGGTCTCTTAGTGAATGTGAAATAAAACGAAAACGGTTAAGTCAGGAAGGGGTCCTAACAGTCACATTTATTTGTGAGAGGAATTCGATGACAGTTTTACTCTTAAATTGTCAAATTGCATTCTTCATTAGGAAAATCCGAGCACAGCAAGTGCTCTTAAGGACGCCAAAATGTCCAAACGAGATCCGAGTACGATTATACTCATGTAGGGCCATACCGGTCCATAAGGGAACTCCGAGTACGGTTAAACTAACGGAGGATTATATCAATCAGCATTAAGTATAAGTGTATTCCGAGTACGATAACAAATTCGTGGACTCTAGGGGGTCCTAACGGACATCTGAAAATGTATGAGGGAGAACCAATACGGTTAGGTCTTATTGATAGTCCTTACAGTCAGCTAGATTGACTGGGATATTTTAGTACGCTTAGTCTCGGAGATACATTAGGGTTCCCGGCTGTATGGTGAAAGCTACATATTTTCATAATTTACAAGTATTCCCGTTTTGGAATTTGATACATTTACTTACCAATTTTTGAAACAGCACATTTATTGCCAGAATTTTCAAATATGTCGCATGTTTTGGATTTTGTGAAACACAAAATAAAATCCGATTTTGTAGCAGACATTCAAGTAAACTTCAGAATAGGTATTTAACAAAGCTTGGAACCATATACGATATGATATTAATTGATGTTTTTGCCATGTAAATGATAAAATATATACAAATGTAGGTGCAATTATCTACACATTTTATTAAAAACAACAATTTATTCCTACGTTAGATACATCAAATTATTTTTTTATTGTATATAATATAGATTAAATAGGAAATTTACATTTGTTTGAGTTAAATCCGTTTTTTCAATGACTTAAAATCAATTACTAAAATCTAATGGGAATCTGTTTCTGATAGCCCACTTTGTAGGTAATAAAGTGGTAACTATATACTGTGTTAAGTTCTCAGGAGCAGAGGTTGTAATCGCGTGTTAACCGTGTAATTTATGATCCTTTGTGCCTTGTGAATATTGAATAAATAATCTAATTATTTTGCACTACTTGCCACGTATAGTATCACAGAACACTAGTTTTTGGTGCTATACATGACCAACATTTTCCACATACTTGATCAGTAAAAAACTATTTTTATAAATAAATTATTGTAGTATATAAACAGATTATAGATGGCGATTGGTGATAATTATTCGGTGTTTCAATGCGTCACGTAAGCTTCCCCATCCACCTGGACCAAATAAGTACGCATTGCCAACTTGAGCCTTTACCCTAAGAAAATTCAAGGTAGTTTTCGCTTTGTTCTGTTAATATATATCAATATCTTACCGACTGAGGAGATTATTTCGGAACAAGACAAGAACAATTGCATCCCCTTTATTTAATTCAATGTTATATTATAATAATGTTTGAGCTACGTGACGCTCTTCAGGGCTGAGTCTGCTAGGTTTGTCCCAGTATCTCACGTCTTTATCGAACAAGGCATCTGTTATCGCGTGTTTGCACGGGAAAACGTATAAACAATGGCTCCATGCAAGGTTTTCTGTTACCCTTACTGTGATATCTAGATGGAACGCCTTGTATATTATAGATATTCATATACCCGTATATCAGCGATCTGTTAATCCTCAAACACTGTTATAGGCTAGGCCAACCCAGCCAGAGCCCCAGAGCAAGGGGTGCACAGAATGGGCGGGGCTAGATGCAGGGATAACATTACCACAGAAAAGTGTTCGAGACGAGCGTTCATTTAGGTCTGACCGATGGAACACAAGACTTTGTCTGTCTTTACCAAGAGGGTGTAAAGGCTGGGGGAGATCGTTATCGATCCCTCAATGAACTGATTCGTATAGGCAAAGACGAGTAATAAAAAGTGCTTCGGCGATCAAACCACAACTCTAGTTTTTTCATCATTGGTTCTTTATATATCATATTGTATTTGACGTCCAGGAGAATCGAACTTGATCGTTTTACAAGGTAAGAACACCATAGTTAGAGATCTACACCGACCTATTTTATGCTTAGGTGTCGTTATGTTGTTCTCATGCCATGGAGTTCA